GATCTACAAATTGAAAATCACCGCCAACAGGGCGTACCTTGTTTTTCAATTCATGACAGCGACTAAGTTTGCGCTGATGGCACGAAGCGGAGTACACGATTCGTTCTTGTCGGGAAATTGTACTCCACGGAAAAATACCATCGGACGCGCGGGGTTCCGTAGAGATTTCGGGCCAATTCTGATCACGTACACGCGAACGATACAATCGCGATGATACAAAACGACTCGAAGATGAAAGGACGCGCTCGAAGCAAGGGACGTCGTCCGGACGAGGCTCGAAACAGAATAAAAGTAATATCCGACAAGGGTGAGCACTGTGAGCAGCGTCCGCGAGGATTCGCTCTGAGAATTCCTTTTCTCTTCGTTCCGACTGCGACGAGAGCAACGAGAAACTCGACGAGAACAAAGGAGAGCGACGATCATGAGGGGAAACGAAGACGGAACAATCGGGGGGTGGGAGAACGGAAGGCGATGAGGTCTTCGAATTGTGGACGGAAGTACCCTCTTCATTTCTGCATCCTTTGCATTCCGATTGCAGGAGCAAAAAAAAAGATGAAGAAGAAGCGGAAAGAAGAAGGTATATCCCTCGTGTTTCGAGAAGATCTTTCGGTCTGTCTGTCTGCGAATTGCAGACGGTCGAGGGGATCAGAATAGTGACGTCTCTCTCTCTCTCTCTCTCTCTCTCTCTCTCTCTCTCTCTCTCTTTCGGCGAATCGAAGGGCACGGCGAGTGAATAAAATGTTTGGCTTGCAGGATCATTATCGGACCGGCAATACTACGCAGATTAGGTGCTTCGTTTTAACGAGTTCTTTTTCATCTCATCCAATTTTCCGTTCGACTTTCCCCACGATTCGACGTCGAAATTAAATTCAAGAAAGAAAGAATGAATAATAAGAAAGAGGTTGATAAATGTATGAGAGTACGCGCAGTATATAAAAGCCGGAGAACAATAGACATTTCGTGTTTATTACACACGGATGTGAGTTGAATTTGGTTAACGAAGGCCGAAGTTTACATCGAATAACAGACGCCTCGAAGTTTGTGTTCATTAGGGTCGGTCGTAAACGATAAAAGCGACGTTGGCGGAAGTAATTGGTCAAAATTTGATCCGTGTCACGTCGCGGCGCCGAACAACCGAATGATGTTTCTGCAGCTGTTGCTGCGAGACAAAATAAAGGCAGAGGGAGTGGTTAATTTGATAAGGTAATTAGAGAAATAATGTCTGACAGAAGTGCGTTCAAGTTCGACACCGGTGCTTAACAGATGTAATAGTTTATAAAGTAATCGATAAAGACAATCAAGTATAAACAAACTTCTATTATGTAGTAATTAAATTTTGTTTATATTATTTTGTGCTTACATAGGTTTAGATGAACCTGTATTTTTCAAATATGATTTCTGACACGTTCCATTTTGCCTTTCATTTTCTTTCCTTCAAAATCTTTCTGATAATGAGACACGAAGTAATCAATTAAGAAAGTAGCGCAATTAGCAGATTAAAATTCACAGTGTTGGATAAGGTACCGAGAACAGAGCCACTCTTGAGGAGCTTTTCTTTCAGCACGGCTTTTATACAGAATAAATTAAATCTGTTGCGTTTTGGAATGTAATATCAGTGCAGAAAGACTGAAAAAACAAATATTATTACTGTTACGTTTCTTACTTTTGCAACGTCGACAATGATATTACGTGTAAGTTTTGCATTTATCAAAGCTCTCTTAAATGTGTATGTGTGGATTTTAAAAGTAAAGAATGAATTATGTCTCTTTTAAATTAGATAATACAAAACGCAGCGGATAACAATGACAAAGATCTGGCCGAAAGGCCATTAAAAATTCCTGAGAAGTGTATTTTTCGAGCGCAAATGTTTGCATTGTCCATTCTGCAAGTTTAAACATGGAAAATCTCGAGCGCACAATATATAACAAGCTAATAGCGTAGGCATACTTTGTAAGAATAATCATGTGGCTGTTAATTGATCGATAAAAATTAAATACGTTTTTAATAAAATAATGTTTTAATTTAAACCGCTGAACTGATCAATATATCGCAATTTGATCAGTATAAGTTTATTTTTTATTTTACTGAAATAAAATAAAAACACACAAATGCTTTCAAAAGCGTCTAATTGCCATTTGCATAAGTCGAAGAGATCGTCCTCTTGCAACTTCCACTGGATCAAATTTGTTTAAACAACACAATATGGTGACCATATATTTCCGCGCATATAAATTTAAACAAATATACCGTGTGTGTGCAAGTGCGCAAACTTTCTTTGCGCATTTGGTTTAAAAATATTTAACAATAAAGTACGAAACCGGACTAAGCAGCGCGCAGCGGTAGATAAAGTTGTGAAAGATAACAGACATCTTACGTTGAAATCGCTCGCAGGGAGTGGAACAGAGTTTATAGAAGCATTCGAAAATATGGTGCACTCACGGGAGCAAACATACTCATTTCGAGAATATCCTGGTCCCAGATATAGAAATAAAAGAAAATTCCTAGAATCTTGTCCTCTCTCTCTCTCTCTCTCTCTCTCTCTCTCTTTCTCTCGTGAGCGCGAGCGCTCGCGGACTTTTCCTCGCGCAATCACGGGTATAGGGTACACGATTGCGAAAACACACCGGGGCGCTTCTGTAAAACACACAAAGGGACTATGTATAAACATAAAAGCGGAAACGCCCGACGGTGCCAAATCCGTGGAGTATAAAAATCTCCGCTTCTAAAAGCGACGTCCAACAGAGAGAGAAATAAATCATGTCATCGACGGTGTGCGCGCGCTCGGTGCTGTACACTATTTTCCGAAAAAGAGAGAATGCAAGGTTTATAGGAACGCGCGTTTGCTGAGAAGAACCGCGTCACAGAGATAAAGTATTTCGAGGAGATAGCGAACTAGGCGAATGTATCTCGGATATGTCTGCATTCCATTGCATGTTCACCACGATTTGTTCTATCTCGACTTCCTTCTCTTCTTCTTCTCTTTTTCCTCGCTCTTTTCTCCTCGTGCCGTCCAAGAATTCTCACGTATCTCCCGCCTTCCCCGACGCAATCGTGTGGAAAAGCAGCGGTCCAATGAAGGGCAAATATTCAGTCGGGAGAATTTGTCTCATCGGAAACAACCGAGTTGTACAATGTAAAAATGGCATGTCGCTTCCTCGGAAACTTCCTCGGAATACTATTTGTGCATGGATTTTGTTCGAGAAACAGCAAACTGCGCGCGATACGAGACGATAAAATATCTTTAACTTGTTCGTCGACAGATAAATATTGCATTTGTAAACGCGTGTTATTTGCATTTTTACGATTCAAACGCTTCTCATTGTGAAAATGTATTTGCAATAAATACTCGTTTGCGATGTAATATAATCAATCTGGGATACGCGCGTATACATAAACGCGCAGCGTCAAAAATTTCTTACTGGAAAGAAAAGTCGGAAATGGGTTTTCGATATCTCAAACAGTTTCGGAAGTTCTTGGCTGTTATACGCTTTTTACGCCGCTGAATGCATACATCACTCGCTCTGCGAACGTGCCTAAAAACTTGTCCACTGATTCACAGTTCCACTTACTTTAACTTTGCCAACTTCCTCTTTCAATTGTCACGAGCGCAGTCGCGCTAAGCACGAGCGACCGAAGTTCTTTAAACCAATCAGTTCTGCGATTCATTTGTCGTTGCAGTATGCATGGAATAACGATCATTATTTTACAAAGCGATATCTTGCGAAAAAGATCTGTTTCTAACGAGAAGGATTCGTTTAAAATGATTCACGTCCGAGAACGAACTGCGAGAAAGCTATCACTCTTCGACGTTTCCTTCTAAGTATGAGCATTGCGAAGCACTCTCGACCTACTTTGACGGAGTAAAACCAAACTTTAGTGAGGATCGTCTGTAACAAGCCTGATACCAAAATTGTTATTCTGTAAGTGCCATCCGAACAAAATGGCTCACGTCCAAGACGTTGTGAATCAGAGCAAAACGCGCTCGCGCGCGTTGTAATCTTTTCTGGTTTGTAATACATAAAACTGATAAAGTTGATTTCCACTATGTAAAAGAGTAACGCACAAAGGAGAAGAGTGAATAATCCGTTTAATCACGAATTTAGCTTGTATAGAAATAAATGCCGTTGTTTGCTCACTTTTAAGTAGCAATATACGGAATTAATCAGCCAGTAAATGAAGTTTAATGAGTTGAAGTGGTAATATCGAGGATTGCGCGGGCAAAAGCGGGATGGGCATAGAAACCAGTAAACTTTTAAGTAGTAATATCTTGCATTAGTCAACCCAAATGAGGTTTAATGAATCTCGGTGGTAATAATGTGGAACTCTTGTCGAGACGAGAGAGAGAGAGAGAGAGAGAGAGAGAGAGAGAGAGAGAGAGAGAGAGAGAGAGAGAGAACTACGGTTACAATTTCAAAGCGACCTAACTGCGGCCAAAACTCGGCTTGCAATAATGCTCGTCGTTGCCGATCGTGAAGCGACCATAAACGGCCGCCCATTCCCGAAGAAACGCGGATATTCCTTTTCCGGATCAGCGGAAGCTTGGAACTTCACGAGCGTAGAAGGCGTAGAAGGTCGAAAGCACCAACGACTCCTTTAACGACCGCGAGCTCGACTTGGTGGGAACTTAACCGTTTTACGTCTCTCCTTGGCGCGATGCGGAAGAGCGGCGGATTCTCCCTCCTCCCGCGCGCTACCCCCAACGTCATCCGGCAACGTAAACTGAAGCTGATAAAGCCCTGCAGAGTGTTTCGAGAGACTTTCATTAAACAGGCTCCTCTTGTCTGCGTGGAGTGCTGTTTAAAGAACCTGCGGCGTGGAAATTACCGCTGGCTAAGGAGAGGCCTCTCCGCGCCGTTACTTGAACGACTATTCTTGTCCGGAGATTAGAAGTTGATGGAGAGAGAGCATCTTATCGATGCAACAAAAGTATCGGTGAAGAGGATTAGATCACTCGAAGAAATCACCATTTTATTTAATACACTCTGTGTAAGAAAACTTACCCCCCACTATAAGCAGCAGATGAAGAAGAGCACATCGCAGTTTCTTGCACCTCTGACGAAAGTCTTTATCCATTTTGCTGTGTGCAGAGAATCTTTATGTTTCACTATTCGCGCGCGCGTTAACGTGTTTTTTCTTCCCTACATATATCCTTGTAGTTCGTCGACCGGTACCACAAAGTTTTTGATTCCGCGATTTTCCATTAAAAAAAAAAAAAATTTCGCGAAAGCACAAAAACGTGCGCGCGTCACAGCGGTGACATCAAGAAGTCGCGGGAAAACGACTTGGTCTCGAACAATTTTTTGGAGTTTTCACGTTTTACTTCTTCTGGTAGCACGCGTCGATCGTCGCGCTGAAAATCGACAACACCGGCGACAAGCACAGGCGTGCGCCACGCGGCCGCGATAGATCCTGACTTGCAACTGACGAGGGATGCTGCACGAAGAGTTTGCGCCGGCCTCGCGCCCGCGCACAGAATCCTTATTCCCCTTTGCCACCCCCCGGGACCGGCCTCAGTCAGTTAGTCAGTCTCTCTCTCCGCCGTTCCCGGTATCTCCGTTTATCTCGCGTTCTTCCGTCCACGTTCTCGCTCGTATCCTGCCGCGCCCCGTCCCCTCGTCCTGGCGCGCACCGTCTTCCTTCTCTTTCGGCGATATCAATCCCCCGCCCGTCGCTCGTCTCGCTCTCTTATTCCCCGCCCTTGCACTCACACGGGAACTTCTTTCTCTTCTATGCAGCCCTCTGTCGTTGTAGTTGTCTTCTGACTCACTCCCTATTACAGTTTTTCCATCGCTCGCTCGGTCTTTCGCGCGCGCGGCTACGATCGCGCTTTTCCAACCCTTGTATTTCTTTCTCTGTTTTGCCGCGAATGTCTCTCTGTCTTTCTCTCTCTTCTCCGTTTCCCGCTTTCTCGCGCGCTTCCATTTATCCATCTTCCAACCCCCCACCGCGATCGAGCCCAACATCTCCGCCACATATCTAACCTCACGCGCATCCTTTCGGCGGCTGTATCTCAAACACTAAAGAGTTTCTTAGGAAATTGAATTGAATGCTACCCTCACCCCGTTTCTGTCTCTTCGACAGCCACCACCCTCGTTCTCCAGCGCGCGCTCAGTCTTTTCTACCGTTCCCGCGCTCTTCGCCGTTACTTTCGGAGGAAGAGGGTGATCTTGTCCTCTGTCATCTCCCTCCGTCCTCCCTTTTCTCTCTCTCTCTCTCTTTGTTCCACGATCGCGCTTGTCTCGTTCATTCTCTCGCTCCCCTGTCGCGTTTGTCTTCGTCTTCGTCGTTACTCTCTTCTCTTAAGTCCCCCGCGAAACTGATTGTCTCGCCGTTAAGCGGCAATTTATATGTTAACAGGCCCGAATCGGTCGAGAGTCATGCATACGTTTAAGGAACGAGTTTTCGTAGAGATTCGCATAACGACGAGGATGACGAAGGTGCGGATGATGACGCTGTCCGTCACAGTAAAACAAATTATTTTATTATTTTACAATTGGCAAAATTCCTTAATATGATTTAAAATGTAAGATTAAAAACGTTTCAAAGAACCATCGTAAGTTATTTAATCTGTTCTTCGCTCTTCGTGTGCGTTATTTCGTATGTCGGTGACACGATAATTAATATGGCACCATGCACGAAAGTCTACTCGTTATCTCGAACAACATTCGGACTGGAGGCGACAGCGTCGCTGTGGCCATCCTGTAATTTGATGAGCGCCGCGTCGTTCATCAGCGCAACTCCGCGACACATCGTAATACGCGAATCCGCAAATTTCATCAATGCGTCATACGTATAACGAAGGATCGAACATATCCGTTGCGTTCCGATCGGATGCTTTTCGCGGCTATAGGAGGAGGAGGAAACCCTATCATCCGCGTGTAACTTTGGCAAATAACGTATCGGGAAAATATGGCGGCAGTGGCGTGGGTAGCGAGTTCTATCAATTCGTTGACTCATTAGACGGCGACAGGAATTCTCCCCTCGCGCTCGCGGCGCATGGCGGCGAGAGCTGCGCGCGCGAGAACGCCACAAACTCGTGGTTTTGCTGCAAAAGCATTAACGCATTCGATTACCGAGGCATACTAAATTGACTCATGAATAATTCCCATTTATCTGTGTAAATTACTCGTGACGAATCACGATGAAGATGACACAGCGAAATCAATATCGAAGCGCAGTACGTTGACATTACGTTTTCTTTGTTTTTTTTGCGCCGGTGTAAACAAAAAACTCAACGTTGTACACATGCGTTTTTACTTGTTGCACTTTTATTCGATGTAAAAAGAACAAAACCACACCATGGCGACTAATGCAATTTGTTAATTTCAGGTTTTGAAAGTTATTAGGAACATGCAAAAATTAATTTCTCGTACACACATCTGACATGAAAACGATAACTTTCGGCCTTCGCGGGAAGTTGTAAATGTTATTGCAGATTTCGCTACGATATATGTGTCACATCAGAGAAGTAAACTCACGGAGTACAACGCGCCCGGTATCACCAGGAGGATTATGTGTACAAAGAGCGGGAAAGTTTAATTACTCCCATGCGAGGAGTTACTCCGCGTAAGTAGCACATACGATATGTTCCGCAAAGTGTCGCGGATCGATCAGCCACGAAGGGAAGTTTCGGCGTTGCGGAAAATCACGTTTACATTCACATGTTACGCTCGGATTGAAGTAGCATAAGTCTTTCTAACGTCATCATAGAACGCGCGAGCGGAAGATTTTGCGAGTCCTCGCGGAAGATCGAAGACAATCCCTCGGAAAGTTTGGCACGCGCGTATACAATCCCGAATAATGTAACTATACACACGTACTTATAACGAATCCAAATAAAATATTTCTAATTGATATAAAACTATCGATTTTTACTTGGAAGAAGTTTGTTGAACAAAATCAAGAGCGCACGCACGCATAATTGGAAAGTTAAATTATTCCCACGTGAGAAGTTATGCTCCGCGTTCGTTCACATATAATATAATGTTCCGGCAACAAAGTTGCTAACAAATCAACGCGAAATTCTAGGATAACGTCGAGCCGAGACTGATCTGGACAAGTTCCGCTTTGGATTTAACTTTGCAACTTCACCGCGTGCCGTGTAACTTTGATATTATTAAAATATAAAAATTGTACGCAGCAAACAATAGCCGCACAAAGTTGAAGCGAAGTTAAAAAATCAAATTGAATTGAAAGATTAGATCAATAGAAGCATTTGTATGTAACCAGTTATTCTATTAAATAATACAAAACATAATTTCACTTTTAGCATTTAGAAAAGATTAGCATTGAATTTCACTTTTTATCGACTCAATACTTGGCCAGAAGTCTCGAAGTCAGTTTCTAAGCGAGAGAACCTCTGTCCCTCGCGTTGTTTTATAACAATTTCATTTCTCCGGGACACGTCACGAGCAGAATCAAGAGGCATATACGCGCACATATAATTAGAAAGTTAAATTACTGCCACGGCAAATGTTATTCGCGTATGCAGGTTGTGCGACACGAGGCGAAGCTACGTCGCTTCTGCATCCCAAATTGTGCGATTTACCTAAAGCGTTCCATTATTACCGCACGCTGTAGTGGTTAGGAGATACTCGGTGACGCGTAAAATAGGGCTGGACGTAATTCAGGAAATTGTTTAGCCACATAGAGAAGACGTAAGAATCGTTTTAGTAGACAATTGTGTCGTTTGTTGCGAATATGAAATTCGCTGAATGCACATGTGTGCATCTATATTGATAGAGCGATTGCTTTGCCACAAGGTTCTAATTACATTATAGTATACGCTAAGTTATAATATGTTACAAATTATATTATATCAAAATACTGTAAAAATAACCAATATTTCACACTTACACAATGGCGTTTATAGAAGCGTCAGAATTTAAAAACGTGGAACTCCAGAATAGAGAGCGAATTGTGCGTCCTTGACATGTTGAGATGGCAAGGTGTATTACTAACGCTGAAACGTTATGTCGCAGACACAGACGAGCGACGGAAAAGGTAAAAAGTCACAAGTAATAATAACGAATGAAATTCTCGCTGTCGTCGCCACGACGACGGCATTCACGTACGAGTAGCGCGAGAGGTTGAAAAGTTATATCAGTTCCCACGCAAGATGTTAGCCTTGTACGTAACATACGCGACATATTTCCAGAGACGAAAGTAGGAAAGGTGGAAAACAGGCGGAGAAATCACCGGAGATACCTTGGTGAAAAGGCAAGTGAGGTCGAGATAAGGGGTTGATACGACAGTAGGTTACGTCACCTTTTATATACGGGTGCAATGTGCCTAAATTGACCCTTAAACATTAACTCCCGCCGGGTTTATATCGCGCCCCGTGGTTTCAGCAGAGTAATATCTTCAACTTTTAACGGCTCGAGTCTCCGGCGCCATTTTTACATCCTCTCTCTTCTCTGTCTCTCTCTCTTTCTCTTTCCGCTTTTTCTCTTCCACACTCGGGCCTTGCTATTTCCTTTACATGTACACAACTCTTTCCACTGCGTGGCTCCGGTCGAGTGAAAATACCTGCTTGGCGGTTAACACCGGGGCAATTCGCATGCCACCGTGCGGAAGAGAGTTTTGCGAAAAATTCTATTTTTTCGCTGCTCGCGCGGATCAAAATTCATCTCCGTGCGAGAAGCAGTGCGCGATTGCGGATAATGCAATACGCCGCGGAGAATTTTCGTTCTCGTGTTCCTAGCGCGATCCATTGCGGTACAGACACTGCACGAGATAGGATTACAACCGTGTAACAAAATTACGTACGGGGTGTCTGTGGAAAATTCTCGTTAACTTCTAGTGACAAATATTTTTTGATAAATTTTTGCAGAAGTATCGAAGCGTTGATGATATTCTTGAGACAACAAGAAATAAATAAACACTTCGGGAGTTATAAACTCGATTTGTATGATAAAAAATAACGCAAGTTTTAATGAACTTCTGTTGAAAAAAATGGATTTGTAATTTAACAATGAAATTGCAAAGAGATGTATTGAATTTGGAAAAATGAAACGCTTATGACAAATTCACTTGATTTACGCAATACTTTCAATATAGACCAATTACTTTTCGATTAATGTACTAATGTACCAAAAAATGTACTATTAAAGATTGACAAGACACCCTGTATACTTTAAAGCGGTAATCGGATTCGGTATTAAGCGCTCTTTTTATCTGCGCGACACGCTGAACTTTATACTCGCGACGATATTTTAAAGTTATATACTGTTAATTTTTGTTTTCTTTGATGTGTTTACTGGTGTATTATTTTAGAGCAGAGCGATTTAATAAAAAGATCAGATTTGTTAACAACGGGAAATTTATAATAGTTGGAATATGCGTACACACTTTAAATACAAAATGATTCAAAATGTAATTTTACGCGTATA